AAAATACACAATATATAGGGCAGTTGTGCATGTTTTAGTGACAAGAGTACATAATTGCTGTGTTTACACGAGCACATTTTATCAGAGCCCCACGGATAAAGCCAGCAAAAATTTGTGTATATGTGTACAGCTCGCGCCAAGTTTGGCCCTGTGTTGAGCTCTGACATGATTTGGCTCTGACACAGTTCTGACCGTGTAAACACATCAGGGTCCAATGATCAAATCCGAAATCCCACCAATGACTACTACGTGTATGTTAACACACTGTGCAAATTGTACTAGGATGAACGAAAGGTAGCACCCATGATTGCAAAAATAAGAGCAGTAATTAAGTGCACTGTTCCGTTCGGCTATGAACAAACTGAATTGAACTCTGGCAGATCTCAGCTCTCATTCGATCCAACCGTGTAGATGCATTGGAGATAATCTCCTGTTAATTGATGGGTGGAGCAGTAGTTTGGATTGGATAGAATGCTGTCATGTAAACATAGCAATTGCATATTGCATACAGACACATTTTATACTGACCTTCAGAAATTTATAAGAAGCAATAATATTAGTTTCTTTCATTTGAATAATTTGATTACTCTCTATCATTACTATGTTGCCTTGGTTACCAATCCTAGGAATGTAAAATATTTCACAAATTATACACCTGTAATATGATACCTGGTAGTATTTCTTGTTGTATCGGTACCTTGAATCTACCTTGAACACTCTTTCATGATTGCGTGAATTTATTAACCTTTGGGTGCCAGATATTTTTCCCTTGCAAAATTCAGGACATATATTTTCATATTTAGTAAAGTACTAAATTTTATCATAATTTCAGATCATAAAGTTTCAGATGCTTTTAGTTTTTGATCAAAAGTTCTCTCAATTTTTATTAACATTTCATGTGGGCTGCATAAAATGATTTTGTTGATGGTGTCAAAAGTTGACAACAGTGCTCCATTGTCAAGTTTGTTATTATATTATTGTTATAGGCCTTAACAATAGTATCAATTCAATTCTCATTGGAACATGAAAGGATAGGTGATATATTGGCAGGAAACAAAATTCACCAACATATTACTAAAAAAAAAAAAATTTTGCTCCAACATTTTTACCTAAATTTTCTGTTTCTTATTTTTCGCCAAATGGTGAAGTTGACTTTTGTCATCTGTTATTCAACCTAACAAAATTTGTTCTTCATTTTTCAAAATTATACATCAATATCTATCACTGATGGGATATTACGTCAATTTGATTCAACATTAAAAATGAAAAAATACATAAGAGTGAGCAAAATGTTACACCAAAGTTTTGACGGGAAATAACAAGGTGCTCAAAATGTTAAACTGATGTAGCCATAAAATGTGAAAGAGGTCAGATGAGTTCAGGTCAATGTATTCAGACTATAAAAATGTTTTCATTATCAACAATAATTCATTGCAAATTTTCAGTGATTTATTTTAAATTCCAAAGAAATTTCTTGCCTGACACACCTGGAGCTTTATTTAAATGCCAGAACAGAAATAAATATCGGTGGTCTAGTTATTGTTTACTTAACTTTTTCTTCCGAACAGTTACTCAAACTATAAATTTAAAAAAATATATATAAGCTTTGCTTTTGAACAACAAACTTGCAACAGAGTATATTTAAACAATTATCAAAAAAATATTATGCAAATTTATATATAAATAGCTTATTAAAACACAGTAATTTGTACTTTTCTCGTGAACAACACAACGATCCTAAATTTTATTTCAAAGGACAATTAATTAGTTTTGAAAATATCAATAAGAAAACAATCGTGATATTAGACATGTGTGAAGGCATGAACAGCAGTGTTATACATTAACTCATCTTTGAGTCTGCCACATAGAGAATGAAATAATAGTCATTAGAATCAAAATGCTCATTAATCTCACATTTTTATATTGTTAGCCATCAATGAACAGAAAAAAATAACTAAAAATCATTGTACAATTTTTACAAAATTAAATTAAATTTATTGTGTGTGTAACTAACTTACTTTGACATTAACGATCCACTCCATTCTTCGATCCTTACTGTGTCCCGCATTGGAAACTGAAAATAAAGAAAACTTTCATTACTGACAACAGGGTGGTCATATTTTTTATTTGTTTCCCATGACCTAAGCTTTAAACAAAGAGGACTAGTAGGGTGGTCAAAATTAAAATGTCAAGAAGAAAATCACATTAGATCTGAGTACTGAATTCAGATTAAGGCTTCCTTGCAAGTATTCTAAATAGTATCATAAGATATAAAAACACACCCTCATAAAATATTTAGCAAAGAAAACAATTTTGTCTTTACCTTTATAATAGGATATGACATGTCTTGGGGATCAAAAAGAATCGATTTGGAGCATGTTTTCAATCTTCCTCGTACTTTTCTGCAATTTTGAAAAAAAAACATACACAGATTTCAAAGCGGTACAGAAATTTGTGACAGAATTTCGATGTAGTATATATCATTCTTTAAAGAAGTTGGCTAGCAGCATATATATCTTGGTTGATTTCCATGACATTTTTTCTGCCATGTGTTTTTTTTTTTTTTTAATTTCACTCTTTTTTTCACTAAACTTGGTTAAAAGTCTGAAAATTTAGATTTTTTTATATCATTGCACACATGGTCGGAACAAATTATTTAAGAAATTGAAATGACTATCCCGGTAACATTTTTGTTCTTTATATAAAATTATTTTTGTTATTAAAGGGTGATATAAAACTGATAAATCTTTCATGAATTGTTTAAAAGGTTGGTGGTTTCATTTCATGTAAACAAACAATGTATTTTACACATGCTGTGTACGTCGCTATGAGTCCCATATCAAACAGGATGCGGCATGACGACCACCGGCCTTTGATGTACCATAATTGCACTATTAGTAGTATATGTGCTCACATAAATGACAAAGGAGTGTCTATGATCAAAATAAGTTACAAAAAATAACATCTTGAAATAAGTCATACCAGCTAGCATACAATAAATGCCATTTACGAGTGCTTCTATCAGAGATGTGTTTCTAATAGAGAAAATACCGTATAGTACTCTCTACAATGAATATTCCAATGGTGTTATCTTCTTTGTTCCTCAAACTTGACAAAATCAGGGTATGTTTTAGAAACTTAAAGTTTGCAATTTTTGTACACAGAACGAAAAAGGAGATGAACTGCACTTTGTTATGATATGCACTCAAAATAAATTATTACGCCAAAAAATCATACAAGATATTATATTTCCATAAGAAATACAAGATGACCTCCAGAAATAACATTATTATTATTATTATTATTATTATTATTATTATTATTATTATAGATTCTCCATACCTTTTAATAGCTTCAGCCTCAGGAAGTCCCTGAGGGTAATAAAACACACTGAAGTCTTCAAAATAGATTTCACCAGGCTCTAATAGTAACAACGAAAACCTGCAAAGAAAATGAAAGATTAGGTTATAAATTGGCTTCAATGTGTATAATTTGTCTCTGTCGATTTATTAGAAATATTATAACTAACCGTAGTTTTTATAAAGAGAAACTACTAACACTCTTTACCTTTCAGCCTGAGACAAGTTGTGAGTGAACGCCATTTTTGATTTGTGCGGACGACAACATTGTGTCAACATAGGTGGCGCTATTCAGCACAGTCGGTTGGTTTGCGGCGATCTGCGTGTCAATGGGACAAGTGTGGGTCAAGAGTCAAAGGTGAAAGAAGAGCGCCCTCTTCGAAATTGCGTTAGTTTGGGGTTATTTTCTTAACCGCCCTCAGCGTTGAAATTGGGGCGGGGACCAGACTAGTTTTGGGTGTGAGGGTTTGTTTTTTGAAATTACATTTTTCCCATACCCTTTTTCACCATTACCTACTAGTATATATTGACATACCCCCTCATAATCCTAATTAAATATGACATACCCCACACCAGCAAAAAATGTTTGCCATTTCCATTAGAATTTAACTGTATTTGCCACAAACTCAATGCTGCTTTCGCATATATTTTTTTGTATTTAAACAATATGTTTATTTCGTTTCAATAATATAGACGTACAACACTAAATATTTCATTACATACTGGTATATGGAAAGAAAAATTAGGAGAAAAAACGTAAATAAATACAAATTTGTTGGTATAACAACTACATTTGCTTTTGTATATTTCAACATGCACTATTACTAATTATTAAAACTTGTGACAGAGACATGAATTCTATGAATCATGGCTACTTGGTGACAGGAACAAAGCCGAGAGAGACAAGACTGGTGACAGAGACTGGGATACTGGGACAGACAATATTGACAATAGCACAAGTTGTGACAGATATATCCATGACAAACATGCCGACAAAACTGGCGACTGACATCAGTGACAGTGATAAGAGTGGCAAGACTGCTGACAGAAAAATGGATGGTTTAAAATTGTAACGAACAGTGACATGTATTTTGTCTGAAAACTGTTTGCTTTAATGTATTCAAAGTTTCTTTTCTGAAAAGAGTACTGACACAATGCGTGTGATTCAAAATTTATGAAATCCTTTTTAACAAAATTATGAATCAATATATCGATTTTCAAATCTACCCCATTCCATATTAAAATTAAAACACATTGGAATGTGCAAATCTTCAACTATTAACCCAATGCTCAGTTATATATTAATTTAATGTAATTATTGCAAACCATTTTATCCCAATTTTCAGGTATCAGCTAATAATTATGATTAGGTAGATCCTGCTTTGGCCTTTGGTGACATTGACCACAGTTCATTTTAGGAAAATTTTTATTAAAATTTTGCGAAAATCTAAAAAATATTGCCATTCAACCGTTTTCTGAGAGTCTTATGACGACTCTCCGTCGTGACACTAGGTGGCGCCGTACGCAACATCATGAGAGGGACTACAGTCCACTATACACGCATCTGCGGTCCGGACTGCGGGCATAATGCGCCGCGCTAAACCACGGAACGTCAAGTTGAAAGCACTAATTGTAGAGCAACTGAAAATGTATTAATAAAATATTTACAAATAAATATATACAAGGATTCATAAATTTTTAATTTATTTCAACTTTGCATTGCGGGTATTGTGTTGTCGGCAAAATTTCCTTTAAGTTTGAACATATTCGGTAATTTAAATACATGATGTCATAATTTTACATCATGTGATATATTCTTTATGAGGTTACAGTGATAAACGGCTTCCACGACTCACCGATAGTTTTTCCACATATTGCAGTAAAAAAAGATTGATTGTAATTTTGAGTTTTAAGTAGTTCCAATAGTACGAAAAAAAACATCGAATCGTGCAATGATATCCATTTGTCTTGTAATTGTTGTGTGACGTAGCCCAATCTCCCAGGCTGAGTTCTAGATCTAACCGCAAGGAACTCTGGGAGGGAGAATGGTAGCACCCATTCCTCTAGCACGCCGACCACACATCACGATCACGTAGTGTACGAGATTTGTGTTATGCAAGGTTGTTAGCATTCTCATCCAGATGTATGTAATGCCGGGATGTAATGTTTACTACATTTGGACTCTCTTGGGATCACGTGACATCTAAATTACCGACATTTATTTATACTAGAAATTATTTGCATAATTTCGGATTGTCTTTACAGGAAATTCCACGATAAGTTATTATTTTGTTCCTCGGAGGCAGTTCCATGCAAACCTATATTTTTTAGAAAGCCAGATATGAAAAACAGACATGCATTCTCATAATATGTCAGTGATCGGGGTTCTAGAATACCTTAAACAGGGAACGTATGTATAATCACGGTTACTTCTTCTAGTAACCGTGGTAACCGTGCCTCCAGATAGTGGATGTGACGCGATAAATCCATGGATTGTCGACCTTTGCGGGAGTATACATCTTTGTCTCTGCTGTCGCAAGTTACTACAATAACAAACGGTCGTAATTATTAATACCAATTAACACCACGATATGTGCATGCCAGTGCCTGACCAAAGCAAATTAAAGTGAAGTTCAAATTCAAAGTTTCTCACATGACTACCATCATTGCATGCACCATATTTTTAAAAATACACTTATAAAACCGCTCCCGAAAGTTCAGGTATCACGCTAGTAATTTAATAATTTTTACATTATCTCATACGCATGCGTGAAGTCAGGCATGACGTGTTTTTCTTCAGTTAAAGCGGGAAGTCATGCGTCATGCGCATGCGTCAGATAGCCATAGCATGTCATTGTTTACAAACAAGCGTCTACCCATGAGCCTTTGCGTTTTTAGAGTGCGCTGTTATCGTCGCTTGGGACCCAATTCCCGCGCTTTTCACATTCTTGTGACGCGCGACACCCCATAACAACGAGATGTTTTTATAATTCAAAATGACGTAATTTACACGACGCATGATCCATCGTTTTGCATTAGCTAGTCATGATAGATATATCGGGTTGCGTCCCATGACAAGGCGGGAAATGTTGTTATGCGAAACTTCTGTTTTATTTGAATGTGTAGGAATGACTTTCTATATCGAGTACTCCTACGTGGTATGTTTGTTTATCGATGCGAGCAACTGCATTCTACGCGTATATAGAGTAAGATAGAGAATATGCAAGTGGCAAATGCCAAATGGGTACGGCATCGGGTAAAACGATTCTAGGGTTCTACTTGAGGCTTATTTAAAATGCCAACCGCTTTTGGGGACGGTGCGACTTTCCTAGAACTCAGGCTAAAGGGTGCATTTTTCAGATGTCATATTATTATTTTAAAATATGCCCTGCCGGATCGGACCGATACAACCACGCCCTCTCGTGGAGTTCAGTTCAATTGACTTTTCGGACAGGTGCCTTGAATTCACAGTTTTGCTCATCATCGTTCTAAAAGCATTACGAGACGACGATTTAGAGACTCCCCGGTAGTCATGGCGTACTCGATTACCGCGGTCGGTTTGATCTACACGGGGTGTGCTAATTGGCTAACCTGGGGGTCCAATCGCATCTTTGTTTGGTCGCCCCCATCGATGCGAAGCATTGCAACACAACGTTCTAACAGTCGAGCTATGTAAACTCACCATGTGCAACTTGAACAAATACAGGATGAACTATTTTGTGATATTCTAGAAATTGTGCACGATTTCAGTTACTATTTACATTAGAAGTGTTTATTTTATAAAGCGCATTACTTGTGTATATTCGTACGATAAACTTCGTGTAGTGTTACAACGAACGTCACACGAAGTATGTAGAAAGTTATCTCATATTTTGTCTACATGTTAATGCAGGTTCCTATTATTTGATAATTGAAGCATCACTTATTGGACGAGGTATTCAGATTTTAGAACAAATGTGTCACTTCACGTATAGGATCGAAATGTTTAGTATAGATATAAAACAATATTACATAGTTTATAGTTCTAAGAACTTTGAAAAAAATGAAACACACCTCGATCCATATGCATATGTGTTTGCATAATTATAGAAACCTCAAGATCAATGCATATGGTAAAAACTATATAATTATTTTTTTCTATCACGTGAAAACAATCGCCGATCGAGCTGACATCCGCAGTGCGCATGTAATTCCAATCGCGAATCAGGTCATCTAACTGACAACTACCCCGGCAATTGCCAACGGCCCACTGCACCACGCACCACCACCTCTAACGTGACGGGTTGTCGAAATTTGCATACGTAATAATAATGTTAATTACGAATAACAACCATGAGTGACATCTCAACAAAGACTCCAAGGACGAATAAGACGACTGAGTGAAGTGAAGAATTATTTTTTCTAGAATGGTGGTAGACTCTAAGATGGTATATACATGTAACACGTTGCGAATCGTGGCAGCGCTCCTGGTTGCGCAGTTTGTGCAGAACGGTGAGTATTTTTCAACTTCCTCACTATATAAAAACAAACACAAAATTATATCATAATATAATATGAGTTTGGACGTATTTGATAGGCGATCAAGTTAAATGTGAGATCACACGCTACATTAATTTCACATAGCCTTGTTGTGGTGATTAACTCAGTTCAGTGAACGCACAGTACAGATAGTGTATAACTCAATTACAGAGACAAACTTGTCATCGTAGAACATACAACATAACATACGGTACACGTGTTTCCAATCATCGACACCACCTCATTACGACGTAAAACAGGGAGAGTGACCAATTAATATGGGTGTAAATCTCGGCCTTTTCAGCGTAATGCTACTGTTAATATATAGGGAGCTCCGATCGATGGGTGACCACCGAGCTATATAATGAATGTCGTATACAACCCGTATAGAATGACATCAACGGAATGATGATTGCATTTTCAACAGAGAAAACATGTCGTCATTGAATATCTGTATTTTGGGTGAGATTACCCCCACTACCCGAGGCAGGCCGGGGTTGAGATTGGTGTTTGGGGCTTGGTGGTTGGTGATGATGCTGGTAATTCCTTACCGCTGCGTTATCACACTGAATTATTCGCAACTTGTTCTATGGATCACAATTCTTATATTTTCCGCAAAGTGTAAGTCAAGACTGCGAATCAAAGACACGCGAGTCAAACAAACTACTAGTATGTGTACTATAACACACTGAGCCAGGAATGACAATACTCAAATAGGTTGCAAACATTCTTAAAA